TTGCTTAAGTTTGCGAAAATTGCGGGAGTTACTCGATTACGCTAGCTGGAAGACACTAAATTTTATTAAGGAAGGGAATACTTTCATTGGCTTGTCTAAAGCTGTTCATCACATGCTTGTGCCTTTCCAATTACACACAACAACGTCGTGGGAAACAACGGCGAAGACCAATATCGAGGAATTCCTTGAGATAAGGATTTTAAATTGTCCACTGCGAAACCTCCGTTAAGAACAGTCTTTGAGTAACGCTAGAAAAGCAGAATTACTGTTTACGGGGTCTTAGGCAATGTTGTTTATGCCAACATCATAAATAAATTCAATGGATTGGAACGTATAACGCATCGGGTCACATCAAGGCTCTTAGTCCGCCTCCAGTATATATGAGAAGAAAATGACCAAGCAGATATGACACGATGTGACGAAGGCGGCAAGATGCGTCTAGAGGAGTCGAGCTATCCCACCGTGCTTACAGTTTCTTTATGTATGTATATTGAAGGGTTACAGGCAGAGCCCTTGGTTACCCTATTTATGTACAGTGCTTTCGCAGATTCATACTCAAAAATAAAATAAAATTGCAGGCATTTAAAATGTGATTGGGGCACAGTTCAATCATAATCATAAGGTAGTGCATGGGGTCTCTGTAAATTAGTGCGGAAGATTGTATATGACAGATTTTACAAAACTGGCTGTGCATAGTCATGCTGTACAAGCCGATTTCTGTCGAAAACTAGACGAGCAAGTTTTCTTTTAAACACACAAACTGTGTCAGCCGTCACCATCTCGCTTGGAAGCGAGTTCCACGGCCTGACAATCCGCTGGCTGAAAGTAAATTTTCGCCGGTCTAAACGTGTTCGCTCATTCCCGACTTTGAATGCATGGCCGCGTAGTTGGTTTGTACGGGCGAACTCAAAGAAGTCCTCTGCCCTTAATGGGCAACCCTGGCCGCGAACAATCCGGAACGTCCAGAGTAGACTCCAGTTTATTTGTCTATAAGAGAGAGGGAATAGGCCAAGCAAATTCAGCCTCTCCTGATAAGACAATTGTTTCAGACCGTCGACCATCTTTGTCGCTCTGCGTTGCACCTGTTCGAGTAAGTTGATATCCTTCCTCATCCATGGTGAGGCTGCTGGCATTCCATACTCTAGATGAGGTCTTACAAAGACACCAAAGAGTCTTTCAAAGAGTTCGGGAGGAAATGTTTAAAATGCAAGTCTGATCCAGTGCAGAGTACTAGTTGCCTTCTGGACCATCTTTCTGCAGTGCTCTGATGGCGATAGATTTGTGGTCGTCCATACACCCAGATCTCTGTGTCTTTCCACAGTTTCTAGCCCCGTCCCGTCAATCTAGTACTGATGTTTGGGAGAGGCATTGCGGCCGGTGTTCAGGTGCAAAACCACGCATTTGGACACGTTAAACTTCAAAAGCCATCTGTTCGACCAAGCACACAGTTTGTTGATGTTCGACTGCAACTTCTCTGCGTCATCATTACACTTGACTTCACTCCATATTTTTATGTCATCCGCGAACATGAGAGCCTCGCAATTCACTTCGCTGATGCAGTCATTAACATAAATCAGGAAGAGTACTGGGCCTAAGACAGAACCCTGTGGGACACCACTTTCCACCTTTACCCATTCCGAGGTCGAATTACTAAGGACGACTCTTTGTAGTCTGGAGGACAGAAAACTCCTGATCCACTTAAACATTCTCCCTTGAATCCCTACATCCCAGATCTTTTGTAAAAGAAGCCTGTGTGGGACACTGTCAAAGGCCTTCTTGAAGTCAAAAAATATGACATCTACTATTAATTCGTCATTTATGGTTACATAGAAGTATCTTACCTGGACACGGGTCAGAAACCACAACCCAGCTCTATGCTTTCGGACAGGTGCAGGAAATGGTTACTCCGAACAATTTACTCCATGTTTGCATACTGGTTACGTGGAAAATAACAACTTTAAAATTAAAAACCAGAACGGACTATCGGGACGCTAAGACGTACTGATGAGCCGGACCCCTTGAGAAGTAGAATAAAATATGCTTGATTTATTATCACTGCACCTCGTTGGCGCTAGCAGTCTCCCTAAAACACAGAATACACCCAGAACCAGCTCATCCATTTCGGCTGAACTTTAACTTCATTAGTTTCGGATGTCTATTTGATAAAAGAACGCGGATTGGGAGTGTGTTTCGAGTTTTTAAAACCGAATTCCAAGGCCTAATGATCGCAAAAGTTAGAAAAAAGCAAGTACGAACTTGGCCAAGCACGTGTGGACACTCTGTCGGTAATAGTCTAGTTAATTAAGTTTTAAAACTGTCCTTCTTGTTCATGTCAGTCTAGTTCACACTTGGACTATCAGTCCTGCATAGCAAATTCGTGAAGAGCTGCTGGAAGCTGTTCGTTTTTTTCTATCCACATAACAGGATACCGAAGAGGAATGACGAAAAATCCCTTCACAAGTAGCATTATGTGTTTGCTTTGACAAATTTCTTTTATCTCGGTGATGAGTGCATCGTCCGCATCCGTCGCTGTCCCGGCGGTCTGTAAACCAGGGCCATATTGAGGCTTGGATGGTTTGGCACTTTCAAGTGTCAATTGAGTATTTCACAACCGATGTTCCTACATGGGGAAGACTCAGCTCTGACGTAGTCGATGCCATCTTCGTTCATTTCGGCAAATTCGGAAAAGCCGCAAGCCATCCAGCATAAATTCCGCGTTTTTTATCCTCTCGTTTAAGCATGTTTTTACTAGAGCCATAAATTCGGGTTGGAATTGGGCCACGGTGAGTCATATTTCGTCTTATTTGTTGGATAAACTCTGCCCACTAGTGTGCGTTATTTTTATATTATTCAGTTGTTTAGATCTCCGGAAATTGTTTGCTTCTGCATTTGACTGATAGTTACTACTGGATATTTCACATGGCGTACCAAGTCCATGGTCGATTTTGGATTTACTATATATCCAGCAAATAACTCATACGTGAATTGCCCTAAGTCATGTATCCCCCAGCCTAGTTCAGGCTTCCGAACACTTAAGGCCAATTGCTCTCAGGTAAGCCAACCTAACCCCTTTGACTTCCAGCCTAGACCTGGTTTCCCACCCTTTTATTCTAATAGCTGCCTACCCTCCCCCCCCCCCAGCCTCTACTTTTCTTTTAGGCTCCCACATCCTCCCCCTCCTCCATAATTTACCAACAAGCCTATCCCTGTTCTAAATACCCTAACATTTGAATGCTCGAAAACTATATCCCCACATCCTTTAGGTTCCATAATCAGCTTTCTCTTGCTGACTTCCCGTACGTCAACCACTCTAGACTTAACTGGTATTTATTATCCAAGTGGCATTAATTCACAGCTTACATATCCGCCTCCAAATCTTTTTTCTAAATACCGTTGACAATAGCATTGCTTTTCGAAACACATTAGATATTATATTATTGAATGCCAGGTCTGTTATTAACAAGATGGCCCAAATCAGAGCCATTGCTCTCGAAATGACGCCTGATATTATATGTGTTACAGAATCTTGGACCCATACTCTAATTATTTACTCTGCCCTTCTCATAGATGACTTCGATTTTTACCGTCAAGACCGCACGACTAGGCATGGGGGTGGTTGTCTTCTTTATTTTAAATTCTACCTAAAACACTCTCCCTATTACTTGGATGTTTCCTCATTCACGGGAAACATCTGCTTTGCATCTGTAATTCTCTCGCCGCAAAGAAAGGCAATTATTGGCTCTATCTACAATCCCCCAAATTCTTCAACTAGTGATGATTCATAACTCTGTGAAATCTTTAAATTAATTCCGGAAGCTGATTTCGATATTAAAACAATCACTGGGGATTTTAACCTTCCTGAAATGGGCTGGGTTTCCAATATCTGGCCACCTAGATTCTAGCCCTTTCAAGATATTGTCAATTTTTCTAATTGGTCCCAACTGGTGCGCTCTCCAACAAGAGATAATCACATTTTAGATCTAATCTTTACCAATGACATTGCTCCTCTTTCTGTTGCTTTAAAAAAGGACCTCTTTGACAGTGACCACACATTAATTCATTGTTGCCTACCGCTTGCCTTTTCAAAAAACACCAACACCGTTCGGACCTACCTAAACTACGATTACGTAGGTAACGACTTAGTAAATAACTATATTAGATTTTTGGATTGGTGTGGCTTCCTCTCCTGTAAGGATGCAACCATTCTTCGTGATGTCATATCCAATGTTTCAAAGGACATACTAGAGTTTGTGCCGCGTAGATATCCCATGTCTAATTTTTCAGATTCCCTTGTTCCTCATTTTCTTCACGACAGACTAAAAATTTGAGACGGCAGCTGCGTGCCCTAACCACTAGATCTTTATCTGTTCATCTTATCAATAATAAAAATAATAATAATTTTTATTAAAGACCCATCGGGGTCCCACCAAAGCAAGTAAAAATAAATTTGCATGCGAATTTTAGACGAGTTAGGCAAAATCTGTACAACATGCGATTCATAGTTTCTGAATTAGTAGTCCGTTAAGAAAAATGAATAGCGGGAGGTGAAAAAAAACTCCTCTTAAAAATTTAAAAATGATTGGATTAATTTCAAAGGAGAAAAAATGCCTCGCTAAAAAATAATGACAGAAAAATGCGGGCAGGACTGGCCTGCATGTGGCGGTTTATAACGGATTATAAGCGGACATCGTCAGGGCAGAAATAAATGTCAGCCTTGAGGGGTACGTATGAGGGTCGGAGAGGACTTGTCGTAAATCGTAATGTTCTTACGAACTAACGAGTTATATCTCACGAGCCCCTAGCCTTAAATGCAGCAAGTAAATCGGAGCAGTGAATAATATAGATGTTTTTGAACGTTAAGGAAACTGACAACAGAATACCACAGCAGAGCACGCTAGCACGGCGGGTTGTACAGGTGTGTCGTTTCTCGTCACATTCAAACAAGCAATGCGGTCAAAGGAAATGGGACTAAATTGTCAAAGGTAAATTAGTCAGGTACCTCACCACAGTACCCCCCCTTCTAGACCGGAGGGCGACGGGATACGGCGCCGGAGGATATGCACAAGTCTAGAAAAATGGGTAACTAAACGATCAGGAAAATGAACGTGACGGCCACTGCGAGTTATGTATGCAGGAGGTACAGTCGAAGAGGGTTGACTGCGTGCTGTGGTGGACGATGGTGTTGCAGTTGGATGCTGTTGACATGTAGGGAGAGGAAGTAAGCGGGACGGAGGGGTAGAGGGCAAGGGAGGGGAAGGGCAAGGCAGTGGGCAGGGTGAACGAGTAGGGGATAGGGAAGATGGAGGAACAGGGGTTAGGGGGTCAGCACATGTTTGTCCTTGTGACAGGTCCGGCGGCTCCTCCGCAACAGCAGCCTTGACCCGATCGACACTGACCACGTCCTCCTTGTCATTGCGAAGGATTCTGAAGGTCTTGGTGTTGCGCGCGAGCACGCGGAACGGTCCTTCATATGGTGATTCCAGCGGCTGGCGCACACGGTCACACCGGACGAACACATGAGTACATTTGTCCAAGTCTTTTTCGACATAAGACTCAGTCATTGGAGCTCGAGGTGGAACCGGGGAAAGCGAGCGCATAAATTGTCGCAAACGGTGCACATGATTGTCAGGAGTCTCGTCGGCTCCACGAGAGGTTGGGGTGATCATCTCGCCTGGCAGTCGGAGGGTAGTGCCGAAAACCAATTCGGCTGCGCTACAGCCCAGATCCGACTTCAGAGCTGCGCGGATGCCGAGGAGTGCAAGAGGAAGGTTGTCCGACCAGTTTCCTGGGTCTTCTACGGCACGCAGGGCGGTCTTTAGCTGGCGATGGAAACGTTCCACCATACCGTTGGCAGCGGGGTGGTAGGCTGTCGTCCGAATGCGTGTGCAGCCAAGGAAATTGAGTAGCGTTTGGAAGAGAGCCGACTCCCGCGTCCTTCGAATTTGAGTCGTATCCCCAGCTCTCCGAGCCTTCGTCGTATTTACTTGATAGTATAGGGCAGACTTAACGTCGCGTGGAAATAAATTGCGAACTGACAACGTATCCTTTGTATTTGGATTATAAGTACGCCAACTCGAAAGTTCTATCATTATTGGAATTTTCGGATCTCGACGTTATTTCCCACGGTATCAGGAGGAAGATTCTACCCGAATTCTTCAAGGAACAGCACCACTGATTAGTCTTCTCATTCGCACCGGTGAAGTATACCACAAATTCTCCATCAAAAGATATTTGCAATCGTCCGACCATCTGTACAAGTCTCCCACTTGACAACTTTTCTCCGAGATCTACGTCGAAAACTATAAACGGCTGAGTCGTTTCCTATTTAACTTCATAATTGGCAAATTCTTCATTCTAACAATTGTTGAAAACATCGTGCACTACTCTAGAACTGATTGACGAGTTTGAAAATCATCAACAATGAGCCAGTTTGTTATAAAAAACTCGTTCACAAAAGTTGTGCAACCGGGATTTGAACTCGGTACCTGCGGATCTGGAGGCCAGAGCGTTAGCCACTGCGCTATCGATGAACGGTTTGGCGCTAGTCAGATATGTTTATCAACTACAGAAGAGCAGCTGAAAACGGTCTTTAATTCATTAGCAGTCTCTTGCGATAAAATGCCGCTGGACTCATTAGACTCCAGGGAGATTACGCACAATAGCCTCGAAGAGATAAGACAGGAAATAAGAACCGATGCACTGCCAAGAGGCCTCGAAAACTGTATGACAGACGTGACGGATTCTGCGCTTGTCGGTCGCTGTGTCAGCTGTAAGGAACTTGAAAAGCGGGTCCAGACGCTAGAAGAGAAGCAGGGCCTACTGACGGACATCATCATGGTTATTCTTAAGCACAGTAAGATAGAATTACCAAATAATCCGCCAAATTTTCGATCGATCGGCGACGAGCATCCTACTAATAAAGGCACTATCGCGGAAAAGTCAAAGCCAGTCAGGAAGAGGAAGCGAGTTATGTCTCCAGAGGAAACTCTAGACAAATCAGTTCCGGTGGATAACGTGGCGGTCGACACTAATGCATTAAAAATAAGTCAGGTTCCATTGCCTGCTATAGTAACTAAACGTGCCAAATCATCGAACACTAAATTTGGGAAAGCCAGGGTGACCCTCAGAAGATCTGTTAGAAACTACAAGGACTCGCCGCTATTATTGGAAGGCAATGCTGTTACTCCAATTCTTCACAAGGCTAACTCATCTGGAAAGTGCCCTAACCAATCCGTTTATGGAAAAGGACACGATAAGCCTCCGTGCAGTACATTGCAACAGGGTAATGATTGTAAGAGCTCCACTGCCGGAGCAAGTACGTCACATGAAAATCCATGCCCTAAACTCCCTTCGCCGGCCGAAAATCATTCAAATGTCGAAGTGACAACAGCCGTCGGGAATACTACAGTAGCATTATATCGTCCTAGCGCGGACGCGACAGTAATGAGCTCTTCGATAAATCGTAAGCAAAATATTGTCATAAGGGGCGCCCCAGAGTCCACGTCCTGCATTCCGAAGGAACGAGTGACGCACGACCTAGACCTTCTTCATCAGTACGACAGTGCCGTCCTGCAGGATGGGGAAATATTCACCGTTAAAAAAGCTTTCCGACTAGAATAGAATAGAATAGAATAGGTTTATTGTAGCGCCCCTTGGGCACTGTCAGTCCCCTTTGAACTCAGGAAAAAAACCTAAAACAAACTCGTCAATTTCAACTGCACTTTGACTTCATTTGCTTCGGGTGCCTGGTTAGCCAAAAGAGCGCGAATTGAGAGTTTGTTTTAAGTTAAAAAAAAACCTCAGTTCTAAGGGAAAATAATAACAAAAGTTTCAAAAAATAACGATGTGTACAATATAAAAATTGAAGTTTGCAGTTTGGTAGTTTTCGGGGGCATGAATAATATGTCCTTCATGGCAATCGAAGAACTTTGATATCGGCCTGACCTTGAAATTATTTTCCTGTTGGGTAAATTTCGGTTTGCTCTAGTGTAACGCCCCTGGACTTGGACAGAGTTGTTTGAATGAGGTGACACTTTTCCGCGCGAGGACCTAGGGTGGAGATGGCGTAACCGCGTGTCAGCGAAGATGGCCGGTGCCCCTTCCTCTCTCATCCGCCGATCCCTGTTCCCCTACCGTACCGTATCGTAACGCTCGCCTCGCACTCCGTATCACAACATCGGCACTCCCTCGGCCCTCCCCTGCAGTTGCCCACAGCGCTGCACTCCCCACCGGTTATTTAGCTGGCATGTCGGTATCGCCTCTTCACCCAGACAGGTTATTCTTCAGCTGTAACTCATCCCCCTGTATTGTTAACAGTTATTATACACATTTTCCTTGCTTGTCGCGTTATGCATTACACTATTTCCCTTACTCGATCTGCCTTCTTCCCCGGTGTATGGATGAACATTAAGAAGTGTTAACAGTTCCGTTCAGGGTCTAACCCGGCCAGGAGTTCTCATCTGCGTTTCCTCTCTCTGGTGTGTGCTACCCTTGACGTCCTCGGCCGCTACACTAGTTGTTGGTTGTCAGTCTATCTGGCCAGCTGTAAGGGGGCGCTCGCACAGTTCCGACGTATTTTTTCAGGAGGCTTACCATCGTTGTCTGGACTAAGAGCTGGAAAAGATGAATATATATCAGGAGTAAGAAGCATTCAATGGTAAGTCACAATCAAAACTGTCAAAATACTATTGAATCATGTATCATATTGTTCTTGTTAATGTGAAATTATAGGAGTAGTGGTCGACTGTTTACTATGACCTAATATAGTTCTATATATGTTTAATATGGCTTTAATATAGACATACGCACGACTAATATGCAGGGTTTTATCGAAGGGTATATTTTTATTAGCTTTATAAGGGATATTTAGTGTCTGGTGACATAGCTGATGAAAACGAGAAAGGGAGGAAAATAGAGGAATATCATTATCTGTTCTATGTTTATCAATGATGCTATCTTTTATAAATTTGATTAGTTTTAGTGCTATGTTCCGGTATTTTTCAATCGGCTGGCATCATCAGAGCCCTTTTGGACCAAATTCAATATCAAAGAATTGACTTGAAAAATGTCCTATCTTATTCAAAAATAAATGTGTATTGTTATTTGAAAGGAATTTCTTAGTTTTTATTTTAAATTCGATTAGGGTTCGACTTTTCCGGATATAACCTGGAAGAGAATTCCAGATAGTCGCATATCTTATGGTGTAGAAATTTGATCGTTGGGACTTTGTGAATTTGGGAATCTTTATAATATCCTCGCTATTTCTGGTGTTTCTAGGGGCGTTTTGGTTGGTAAGTAAATTCATTTTGAGAATATCTTGATCGTGGGTGACCTTGAATAGGAAGTTTAGACCATTTTGAAGTCTTCTGATCCAGAGTGGTCGAAGACCGTATTTATGATATAGTTCTAAGTATGAACCCTGGATGCCATCACTTCTAGACAAGGATCTAGTAAACCGTCTCTGAATGCCTTCTAGTTTCTTTCGGCCGTCTGAGGGCATTATGCCGAAGAACATTGAACAGTAATCTAGGAGAGGTAAAACATACATTTTGAACAGTTGTATTCTTAGTGCATTTAAGGTGAAATTTTTACATATGAATCCACACAGGCGAGTGGCTTTCGGTGATATTTGTTGGACGTGGGGAGATAAATCAAGGGTATTTGTATGGCTGAGACCTAAATCTTTTACAGATTGGGTCTCTGTTATTTCATCATTCTCGAATATTATGGGGGGAAGTTTTTGTGGGCCAAATATCAGGAGATGGCATTTTTTGGGTGAAAAGGGCATCTGCCACTGACTACTCCATTCGCTGAGTTTTCTGAGATCAGTTTGAATTGTCCTATGAATATTGGCTACTGTATTCCCGTTATATGCATATGCAATTTTAAGGTCGTCCGCATATAAAAACGTCTTAGCTGAGACAGATATGGACGATAGGTCGTGAATATATATAAGAAATAGAAGGGGGCCTAGGATAGTGCCTTGAAGTACTCCACTGGTAATAGGGGATGGTTCTGAAACGACGTTTCGAATTTGCACCACCTGGTATCGGTTTTGAAGATAAGATTTAAGAAAATCAAGAAGGGGTGGCCTAATTCCATGACTTTTTAGCCTTATCAGTAGTCTTTTATGGGGGACTTTGTCAAAGGCCTTTCTTAGATCGAAGTGTATTGAAGCTACTGTGTTTCCATCATCTCTATTGCTGGAAACGAATTCCAAAAAAGTAAGGTGGCAGGACTGACATGACTTTTTGGGCAATAATGCATGTTGAGAGGAGGGAATGAGGTTGGCGTTCAGGAGATGGTCTAGCAATTGGTTATATACTATTTTCTCGAGGATTTTAGCTATAGCCGGTGTTCGGTGAACACCACGATAGTTTTTGGTATGAGATCGGTTGCCGCTTTTAAATATGGGCGCAATTGTCGAGTATTTCCACATGTCCGGAAAAATTGCATTTGACTGGAGTAGGGTGAATAACTTAGATAGGAGTATTGGAGCATATGTCATATGCTTCAGAATACATGGTGGGATTTTGTCTGTCCCATAGGATTTGGTGTTTGATAGTTGTTTGATGGCTACTTTAACAGTTTCTTCACTAAAATGGATCTCACTAAGGATGCGTTCAGTCATCTCGGTCGCTTGGGGGATGGTTCCCTCTTCGACTGTGTAGTTAGCTGAGAAGTATCTGTTGAATAAGTTTACTATTTGTTTATCATTGGTTATAACTTGCCCTAATTCATTAATAATAGTTCGTGGTCCTGACTGTCGATGATTACTCATTAGTTTCTGAAACATCTGAGCTGTTCGTTCGGGGGACTCTAGTGCCCGATGTTCTGCTGCTATGGTCTTTTGTGTTTCCATTTTCGTGACTAGGTCGTGAATTTCCCTAATTCGTCGAAGTGTGGAAAAATAACTCACAGAGGGGTCGCGTAGCTGTTTTTGTAGCTTTTTAGTTTAGTTGAAAGGAATTTCGGGATTGGTGATTTCTTATACGGGAGTCTTTCGTCTATCAAGGTATCTCGAATTACAAATAGGACAGAGTACAATAGGTTAACTGCTTCCATAGGGGATGTTGTAAGAAGATATGGG